TTGTAGAAACACTGTCTGCCAACCCTATACATGGTCATGGGCACACTCCACCCTCCAATAGATCACAAAGATTGGATCCACAACTGATCATGGGGTGGTGTAGGGCTGGGCAGGATTTCATTTCATTGGGCATCAGGTCCCTATGAGTTGGGGGGTGACTTGACAGCTGCTGAGACTGCTTATGTACAAGCAAACACCTCATGGGATTTGGTTCCTTGGTTTGGAGGTTCAGGGTCATGGTTTCATGGGACATCCCAGTTAATTAGCCTAATAACCTGTTGAGTGCTTCTTTTCTACCTCCTAATTCATTGTGTCATGTCTAAAAACAAAAAGAAAAGAAAACAAAAAATGCCAAACTCACAGTTGTCGAGTCGGACTTGACTCATAGCAACCCCTCCTTGGGTTTCCGACGCAGTATCACTATAGAAGTAGATTGTCCCATCTTCCTTCTGAGGAGTGGCTGGTGGGTTTGAACTGCCAGCCTTCTAGTTAGCAGTCAAATGCCTTAGGCACTATGCCACATGTCTGAGATCTTAAATCTTGCAAGTGGCTATCCAAAGCACAACAACTGATCTCTATTTACCTGGAGCAACAGAGAAAGAAGCAAAGTCAGGAACAGGAGGAGCATATGGATAGTGTGGCTAATTGCCTCTATGACCAGCGGCCTCTTGCCATGAGACCAGAAGCACTGGATGGTGACAGGCTATCATTAGTGAACATTTTGATCAAAGATTCCAGAAACAAATCCTAATAAAAAGGGGGGATATATGGAACAATTTTAAATTCTCATGGACTCTAGACTTTCTGGACCCATACAGCATGGATGAACCCCTGAAACTATTGCCATGAGATAATCTTTAAACCTTAAAACCAAAAAATATCCCCTGAATTCTTCTTGAAACTGAGCAGTGGTTTAGCTGAACCAGTAAAGAGCGTGTGCCTCGAGGATGGTGCTCTTTTAGGATCAGTTTCTATGGGGTCAGACTGACACCAGCAACTGGGAAGATTAGACGGAGGTTTAGAGGGCAGTGAGTTGATGTTAATGAGGAAGGAACAGTTCAGAAAGGGAGGGTAAGAATGGTTGTACAACTTGAAGAATGTAAACAATGTCACTGAAATGTGTTGAATTGGTATATGTTTTGCTGTGTATACCCTCAAGAATAACAACAATAAGTAAAGCTTTAGAGGAAAAAAAAACAACAATGTATTGCATTGGGAAAATCTGCAAAAGATCTCTTTAAGGTCAAAAAGCAAAGACATCACTTTGAGAACTAAGGTATGCCTGACCTAAGCCATAGTATTTTTTGCATTTATTTGTTGAGGTGTTCATCTGGAGAGGCTCTGTTGGCTGTGGAGTAAGGTTGGTTGTATTCTTCATGGAAGCCGATCACCAAACGTCGATAATCCACGGTAGTGCTGGGGGTTTTGAACCACCAACCTTTTGATTACCAGCCAAGTGCAGATGCAAGACTTGGTATTTTCAATCCCCTCACTTGTTAAGCTTCATATGCATGGGAAGGCTAAACAATGATAATGAAGACCCAAGAAGAAGTGATGCCTCTGAACTGTGGTGTTGGTGAAGAATACTGAATACACCATGGGCTTCCAGAAGAATGAACAAATCCATTTTAAAAGAAGTACAGCCAGAATACTCCTTAAAAGTGAGGATGGTGAGACTTTGTCTCTCATACGTAGTACATGCATGTTATCAGGAGGGACCAGACTCTGGAGAAGGCCATTATATTTGGTAGAGAGTCAGTAAATAAGAGGAAGACCCTTAATGAGATGGACTGATACAGTGGCTGCAACGAAGGGCTTGAATACAGCAAGGATTGTGAGGCTGGTGTAGGACCAGGCAGCGTTTCATTCTGTCATACATGGGGTCACTATGAGCCAGAATTGACTTGAACGGCACTTCACAACAACACATACATCCGGGGACAAAGGATCCCCTTTCCTTGGTGAGGACCTATCTCAGCCTCGGTGGGGTTGATGAAGGCAAGTTCTCTTTCTCCCAGATATTCTCTTGAAGTCCATTTCAAACACTGGGGAGAACTGCTGGGGTCTTGGTTCATTTGACACAATCATTGTCAGTCATTGTCTCCCAATGGGAAGGAATCAGGGATAAGGTCTCTCTCTGGAGGCTGGTTTTCCTTGTGGAGACCATTGCAGTAACATCTTCTCACATTCACACACTCTTACCCATAAATTAGGCACTAGCCCCTGGGGGTTCTTTCAAGGAGCAGTTACCGGTGCTTTCCAGACAAAACTTTCTGGAAGCACATGAGGAAGACTTACAAAGCGTTTCTGAGCTGTGTGTCTTCTATGTTGAGGGAAGTATTCCGGAGTCTTTGTAGGCATCCAAGAAGCTAAGGACCCAGGTGTTTCCCACAGGGCACGTAGATCTGCCTGGAGATGGTAGCTACAGGCAGGTTACGCGTAACCCGTTCCCCTACAAGGCCTGGGCCCCGCAGGCACTAAAATGCCCAACTTTTTAACCTGTGACTTCTAATTATCTCCCCAAAAGGAAATGTATTTAATGTGATTTAAAGAAATGCTGAAACAACTCTGCTGTGCCAACTCAACCACTGTTAGTGAGCAGGGACTTTTTTTTTTTATCAGGCAGATGGAATTACTTTCCTAGGGTCTAACATCTAGCTGGAGACCTTTTGGTGCTGTTGACGGTGTGCACATCAGCCACCACTTTGTCATTACATGGTTTCCCCTTTAGCAACTATACTGATTTCATGAAGTCCAACGAAGCTCAAATTCGGTGGCTCTTCCTAGATTTTTTTTTTTGCTTATTAAGAGTAGTGGGGATTCTCAAATTCTTTAAGCCTGTTTTTAAGTAATGAGAGGTGCTTTATGGAAAATTCATGGCCACTGGTGGCTCACAGACCTATTAACCAGGTTGTCTCTCGTCATTGCTGTGTGACATCTGACAGGTACTTAACCTCTCTACACCCCATGCTTCTCTGCAAAACCAAACCCAACCCACTGCCACTGAGTCAATTCTAACGCTGACCCCATGCATTGGAGTAGAACTGCTCCATGGGGTTTCCTGGGCTGTAATGTGCACAGGAGTTGCCAGGCTGTTCTGTGGTGCTGCTGGATGGATTCAAACCGCCAACTTTCAGTTAATAGCCAAGTGCAAAGTGTGCCACCCAGGCATGTTTCTGGTCTCCAAATCGGAAGAAGTAACTGGTCAATCTTAATTCCCATCCCCTAAACAACGAGAAAACCGAAATCCATCGCCATCAAGTCAATTCCGACTTACAAACCTTATAGGACAGAGCAGAACCACCCCATGGGGTTTCTAAGGTCTTAAGTCTTTAAGGAAACAGATCACGTCATCTTTTCCCTGCGGAGCGGCTGGTGGGTTCAATCATCGACCCTTTGGTTAGCAGTTGAGCACGTGACCACTGCACCACCAGGGCGCTCATCTCTTAAAATAAGGAAGCATGAACTTCATTCCCATCAATAATATGAGTATCCTATTTGTGCAACTGAAGTAGTTACTCCCGACCCTGGGGAGCAAAGGGCTTCTTTCACCTAAAAATAGAAATGAAGTGATTAATGCAGCTTTACACAGGTGGGAAGGCATCGCATCAAAACTCAGGTTCAGTATCAGGCCTTTGATTTTCATACTGAAACTACAAGGCCCCAAACAGTCCCATCTTACCCTTTTTCAGGCTGAAGTTTGATACCATCAATATTTTTGTCTTTGAGCAAGCTTCAGAGGGCATGTTTGCCCCATGATTGAGCCCACCCACGCAGCATGAAGGAGTGAAGAACAGAAACCATCCAGAGGCACCATTTTCTTATCTAGAAGTTTTATTTCACTTTAGTTAAAGCTGAGATTGGCTTTCTCATATGGATCCATCCTGCATCTCTGAGGAGGCTCCCTGGAGCAGGGCCTGCGTCTCAGACATCTGTATCACAAGGTAGCACCTGGAACATGGTAGATGCTCAAGTATGTCACCGCCTCTTTGCAAGCTGTTTCCCACTGACCAAAGATTCCCCAAACGTGAGGGGTACAGCAGGTAGCAAGTCTGTGGGAAGCACACTCTCTTCTGATTCCATGAAGCACAGCCGCTGCATGCTCCCCGTCCACGCCCACCAGCCTCCCTCCCCCAAACACGGAGACCCCCAAAGGAAGAGTGTTTCTGTAACAGAGCATTTTCACTTCAGCTTGTTCACTGTTTACAAAATCACATCTCTCAAGGGCAATTTATATTGGTTTTCCATGTGTAGTAATGACATCATCCTTTAAGTGAAAGTAATCAATTTAAAGAAAGTAAACACCCCCAAACTAAAGAGTGTGGTGGTGGGACACAGGTAAGGTCTAAAGAGGGAAGGTGTTCACCGAGGGCTGCTGCCCAGGAAGACAGCACCTCAAGCAGGGCTGCTTCAGTATGGGTTATCCACTCCACAGGGCAAGTGGGAGTCTGTCAGACCCACTGAGCCCAAGGCTCACCCATGTGACAGGTGACATCCCAGGTCACCAACACCCTGCTCCAGATCGTGCGCCACAGAGCAGAGGTTAAACACCAAAGCCAAAGCAGATTCTTAAAAAGTTTAAAAGGAAAAAACAAAACAAAAAAATAACTCTTTGTAAAGATAGATACACTCCCAGTGTGGAGCTGCTCTCAGACAAAAATTTAAATGAGGAGTGGGCAGCATCTGACCAGTATTGGCTGTATCCACCAAGGTCTATCATCCAACTTTTATTATTCCAACTGCTATGGCGAGCTGCCGAGCCTCTTGTGGGAAGGTAGAAGCGCCACAGCCTCCACCTTCCAGGACAGGACACGGGCTGCAGCCCGAGAGGCACGCTTTCCTGAAGAGCGGGGTCACCAAAATAAGTTTATAGCATATTCCAGTCAGATACACCCTAGCGCTGCTTAGAAGCCAGAGAAGAGCAAGCAATACATGATACACAGGTCCCTTCGGGGAGGAAGGGGCTCATTCTGTGGGAAGAACGTGTTTGGACTCTGCACCAGTCTGTTCCACTCCGCTCTCTGTGGCATCGTGGCCAGGAACGAGGCCTGTTCCCGCGCTTTCTGCCTCTGTGGCAGACACTTCCGCAGCTAGGGCCTCTGCTGCTCCACCCTCGCCATCCACAGCCTCCCTCCCTGCCTCTACATCACGGCTTCCTTTCTCAGCTGTTCCACAGGCTGTCCCAATGGCTGATGGCTGTTCAGGGAGGGGGCCTCCGCTGGCCTCCGCGGGATCAGCAGGCAGCACCCCAGTGCTGTCTGGAGCTGGGGCTCCGTCCCCGTCCACGGCCCTCACGGCCGCCGTGACCACCTCAGCTAACACTTGTGCAGCCACCTCCTCGGGTGTCCCCTCCTTATCTTCACCTCCTAGATTTTCCTCCCCTTCTGCTTCTGGGTCAACAGCTTCATTGGTGAAAGGGTCCTCACCCTGGTCAAAGGAGAGAGAACACAAGGTCACTGTGGGTGAAATGTCCAAAAGAAAGTCCAGGCAGGGGGGTGAGGAAAGAGCCCAGGCTGCTGGAGGCTGTGTTTCCATGAAGGACAGAGTTGGCAGAATAACACGTCTTTAAGCTACTCCAGCTGCATTAGCCCTATAGGTCCTCAGAGCCTGCAGACCAGAGACATCTTATTCGGAAAAGTTTTTCGAGAACTACTCTGCACTTTTTATTCATGCACATAACCTTAAGGAAAAGTGCATGAAGACCTAGGAGCTCTTCATCTGACCTTAGCTACAGTGGAATTTCAGATGATCTTAGATTCCAGCCCCACCTGCATGACGGCTGTCCCTTGTTGACAGAAGAGCGGGGATTCAAAGGCCAGCAAGTTGCTGAAGGCCACAGCAAGCAAAGCTTCAAACCCCAGCTCTCACAGCACACGTGGAAACTCTCCAGTTAAGAATAAGTGAACCACTGATCGTCACCGGATCAGGAAACGTGCTCTAAAATATGCTGTTTATTATAAAGGTCTGCCTTGAGCATTGTGTTCTTTTAACTTCTACATCTATGTGATCAGACTGACAACAACAACTGAAAGATTAAATGGGAACCTTAGGGGTGGTCAATTTATGTTAACGGAGGAGGAACAACTCAGAAAGGAAGGGTGAGAATGGGTACACAACACAAACATAATTCACATCACTGAATCAGGACACGTAGAAATTAACTGCATTGGTGTGTCCTGCTGTGTATATTCAACAACAACAACAAAAATACAATAGAAGCTACAGATTGTTGAAAAGGCAAAAACAAAACAACTGAAAAAACAAAACAACAACAACAAAAACGCTGTTTAGAAAACTATACTTGACACCTGACCCCGGAAAATCTGTTTTTTAAACCTCAAACGTGAAGGACTCAGTTCTTCAGTTGGTCTAGATTTGACACAGACGGGAGGACATTGACTCACAGTGCTTTACCTTTACTGTAAAAAAACCAAAATGAAAGCCTAGTGGACAGCTTAATGGATAGAGTGATGGGAGGTGCACGTGGTTAGCGTGCTCAACAGGTGTAATGCACAGGTTGGAGGTTCAAGTCCACCCACAGATGCCCAAGAAAGGCCTAGTGACCTACTTCTGAAACTCAGCTGCTGAAAATCCTACAGAGCACAGTTCTACCCTGACCCACATGGAACCACAGTGAGTCTGGATGGAGACAATGAATTATCAGGTACTGAAGCATTTACTAAGACAGGACTGACAGGGCCTTAAGTTGGGTTCCAGGTTGGCACTTGGCCACCAGCCTGAGAGATGAGCATCTATCTAGCAAAATGGGCCTCCCCGGGAGCTGGCTTGTCTGACCACACTCCCCTCCACACGCTGACGACTCCGCTCGAGACTCCGTTGGCTCTTCCGTCCCCCTCATCACCCGTTGTCTCTGCCAGCGAGCACTCCATTTACCTTCTCCCCTGGATGATCAGCATCTATCTACCCTCTGTTCATCATCTGCTCAGCGTTTTCCACAGTGAGAGGCAGCACACAGGTGTGTCGTGTGCCATCACATCCCAGGGTGTCCCATCCAGAGGTGTCTCCAGACATCCCAGAGTCCCCGGGCAAACGCTAACTGTCACCTTCCCAGGCCCTTGATTGCACCTAAGGCTCAGAAATGTTCCACACTCCACTGTGGGCACAATCTTGTCTGAGCAGAGTTCACCCTACTGTGAAAGCTGTTCCTGAACACCAGACTCCCAACACAAACCTTGAGGTATTTTTCCAGCATCTTCACTATATGTCGATTGTTCAAAACGCTCTTGGCCACGTGGAGACTCGTTTTCTTGAACTGCTCAGCAGCCAACTGCAAAGAGAATCAAACGTGGGTTTTTAAAGTGTACCAAGGGCAGGAGGACCCACTGGTTGTGCTCTGCCCCACTGTGCTCAGGTCAGGCCTCTGCAGAGACAGCTCAACGCACAGTGGAGTTCACAGGGTACACCCTCCCCCCAGCAGGGCTCCAGCCAATGCGTCTAACCAATTCTAAGCAACACATTTCTTCAGTTTAACAGCTTGCCCGTTGGGATACTTGTCAAAATCACAAATGAAATATGCCAAGAGCCCTGGAGATGGGACATTCACTCTGACTGTCACAGAAGGTTCTGAACCCCCCACCCCGTGTGGGCAGGTGCTCACTCGGCGGTTGTGGTTGTGGTCTGGGGAGTGGAGGTGCCGCTGCAGCAGCTGGTGCTGAGCGGGGATGAGCATATCACAGGCCAGGCAGTGGGCAGCCTCGATCCTCTTGAAGAAGTGCTCCTGGCCGATCCCTGACGGCAGACACAAGGCGTGGGGAGGCAGGACAGCATGTGAACCCTTCCTCCTCCTCATCAGCCAGGCCCTGGTTCTATCCCTGGCTCTTTCTCCTGACTCTGGTAAGATGGACCAGAGAAGGTTTGGCCCTCTGCCCTGGGTGCTTGGATCAGAACAGCCCTTATCCAAGAGCGTCTGGGTTCAACTGTTCTAATCATTCCCTTCCTTTCTCTCTGACTAAGTGCCAAGTGGCCTACAGTACAGTGACCCGTGTGTCTGGTCACACAGGCGTCCGAGCCGCCCATGCCCGAGCCCTGCTGGCAGCGCGCCAGTCTCACCTGGGACCCCGCACTTACCTTTGAAAGGATCCGGTTTTGGTTTTGCGCTCTCCTTCTCCATCATCTCCTGGCGTCGCTTCTCTATCTTCTTGTTCCTGTTCACGATGTACTCCTGGAGGGAATCATGAGAGGAGGAGAAGGGGGCATGTCAGACTCTCCAGCCGCACAGATGAAGGTCCCTGGGTGACACACATGGTCTGTGCTCAACTAATAACCCATGTTGCTGGTTCAAACCCACCTAGCAGTACCACGGAAGAACCATGCCTGCTGAGGAGCTTCTGTAAAGATTAAACCCAGCCCGACTCCACAGCCAACGGTTTCTCCAGATGAACATATCAACAAACGCCTTAAACGACTGCACAAGATGCTAATCAATGACGAGGCGCCCGCATTAGCAGAGGCAAGAGGACAGAGCTGGTGGGGTCTAGGTTGGCTGGAGACCTGGCCCAGTTTGCTGTGATTGATGAGACCAAGGCAGTGTGTAGCTGCTGCTTCTGGAGACAGTGTCCCTGACCGTGTGCTGGTCTCACTCGTACACTTACCCACCCACCTGAGGAGGGGTTTGTGCAACTTTTCTTTTTTCTGGGAAATGTGACCCTGGACAAGCCTTATGCCCTCCCCCACCCCCCACAGCCAAAGGGCTGGAGGCTGTGGAAGCTGCCTGGGGCTCCGCTCGCCGGAGCTGGCCGCTTACCTTGGCCGCTTACCTGGGGGAACTCTCACCTGGAGGAACTCGACCGTCCTGTCGGGCAGCTTGGTGCCGATGAAGCGCAGGGTCTCCTTGTGAAATTTGCTCTGCAGGTGCTTCTGGATCTCCTCATCCTCGAAGCTGCGGAACTTGCACACAGAACAGGCAAACTGGATCCTGTGGGAGAAAGATGAAGAGTATGATGAGGCGGGGCTGCTGGCCAAGGGTTCTGGCTGCACCTAAAGCAGACAGTGGCCTCTCAGCTGAGACTTCTGACCCCTCCCACGGGGCCAGAGCGTCATGGGGCTCAGCCAGATGAGCCACAGGACCTTGGTCACACTCTCTCCCTGGTGCTAACACAACAGTTAAGACAGAGATGCCGCTCAGATGTGATCAGGGCTCCTGGTGGCCCGAGTGAGTTCTCTGGACACCCAGCAGCCCAGGACCAGGCCCTGAAGCTTCCCAGACGACTTTCTCTCCACAGACACCAAGAGCGCCCTCACCTGTCAGCCGCTCGGTCCCGCATCCGGTCCCTTCTCCTCTGCTTCTCCCTCCGCTTTTTCACTTCCTCATCCTCATCATCCTTCTCGCCTGTAACAGAGAAGTACCTTCAAGACCCTTGTGGAACCCAAAGAGCTGATCACTGGGCCTGGGTGGGGCCGCCACAGGGCCTCCCACCTGCCCTGCCAACTCAGCGCTCCCAACACCGTGAGGCTGCAGGGGCTCCTGATGGGGCAGGCCTGGGAGAAGCCTCAGGAGCTCCTGGGGCTCACCTCACACCCCCTTGGCCGGGCAAGGGGACACGGCCCCGCCCATTCCACAGCCCTCTGCTCGCTCCCTGACCTGCCCCATCCTGCTCTAAGGCTCCATCGTGGGTCTCTGCCCACCGTCAGTTAGGAGGGAGCGACGCAGCCCTCTCCTGACGAGGCGGCAGCATCAGCCGAGAGGAAGGCAAGCCACGCTCGCTGCCTCCAGGTGGGCCTGGCGGCCGTCCCGCCGGCCTTGCTCTCAACTAGGGCTGCAGCAGGTCTGAGTCCGTGCTGGCCCGGCTCTACCCTCCGTGCACAGACACCACCAGCCTGGGCCTTGCCCAGGGCTGGCGGGAAGCATTCCTGGAAACGAGAGTGGGAAAAGACCAGTAGGTCCTCCCGTCCGTGCCCAGTGTGACCAGGGGGCCTGGCCAGGGCCGGACTCTGTGGAAAGGACCGAGAAGCATCTGAACTGTGGCCCCTACCCCTGTGCCCGCCGCGAGCCTGTCCCACGACGATGGCGACCGGCGTGCACTCTCGGGAGCCTCTCACAGGGCGTGGGGGCTTTAGGCAAGAGGCTGCTGCCTGAACCTAGGACTGCTGCTTAAGAGCAAGGTCAAGAGCAAGGTCGTCCCGCAGGCAGTAGGACCTGTGCGCAACAGACACGTCACCTTTGCTTTAGCACTCGCCATGGCGCACACTGCTAAGTGCCCTGTGTGGCCCCGCGCCACGGGCCTGGCCGAGGCAGAGAGCGGGGTGGGGGGCCACCTAAGCCTGGAAATAAGAGAAGGAGAGTCTTGAGCAAGGACCCTTGGGAAGACTCAGGAGCAGAGCCCAATGGGAGCTAGAAGTGCTTCTTGGGACCCGTGGGAACAGAACAGAAACAAGTGGCCACTGGGTCAATCTGATCTAGGCAGGCTCAGGCTATCCTCCACGTGCCCTGAGGGATGACCTGGGTCTGGCCTGGAGGCTCACTTTGAACTCTTAGGTCTTCCACAGCTGTGACCACACTGGAGAACTTGAGCCTGGGGGCACAGCAGATGCTGCCAGGTGCCCTCCCTGGTCCCCAACCTGGGTAAGGGACCCATGCTGGCTCACGCTCTGGGTGCACAGTGGTTTCTAACGCAGGTATTGGTTCTCAGCCAGCTCTCCCAGCCATAGTGCTACTGTTTACAGAGGTCAAGAGCACAGCCCTGGGCCAACAGGCAGCAGAGCGTGGGGAGACAGGAGCCCCCAAGCAAACGTCTCCCAAGGGGATGGAGGGAAGGGGTGGGAGTGAGACTTCTCTCGCTCACACTTCAGAGAACTCCTTTCCTGGTATAGTGAGCTGCTGTAGACAGCAGAGGGGGGTCCCTCCGTACCAGCGCACTGGACGAGCGAGGCAGATGGACCCACTTCAGCTGCTGCTGCTCCCAGATGGGACAGGGCCTCAGGCTGCACACCTGTGGCCCCATCCAGGCCCAAGCAGCTGGGATCAGTGGGTGGTAGGTGTGGGGCAAGCAGGCAGACAGGGAGTCAAAAGGGCCCCAGTGTGCAATGCCTACCTCTCTGCCTCCCAGGCTCGCAGAACTCATCCTCCTAGAAAAGGACACACAAAGGCGGGCAGTGAGGGGGTGCCTGCCAGAACGCTCTGTGGCCAGCCCAGCACCCTGGTCCATGCAGACCCAGGCCAAGCCCACGCAGACCCAGACTGCTCTCAGCATTGTGTCCTGCCACCATCCTGGTTGCCACTGGGACTACAGTGACAGGTGACTTTGTCGAAGCAATGGATCCACCCTGAGATCTAAACCTAAAGTGCAGCCCTTCACTGCACATCTGCCCGATTCTGCCCACCCACAAAGCGCCCATTAAGACATCCTGCTCAGGTCTCTCACTGCTGGAGCAAGAGGTGACAGACAAGCGAGGAGGTGGTGCACAGGACCCGTGTGGCAGCAGATCAGAGCTTGGGCGCGAGTGTGGGCTCAGTAACAAAAAGCAACACAGCTTGTAAGACATCGGTTCCAAAGTTCTACCTGTAAAGTCAGACTACACCGAGTTTCACCAACACTCATCTGTATTCACAAAACATCTTGAGAAATCAAGCCTAGATACCAACGGCTCTTGGACTAAATGCCCAGCAGTCACAGAATGGCCCAGGCACCAAGTGCCCGGCCAGGTCAGGTCAGCAACCGGGCAGGACTCAGGTTGTGGACTCAAGGTCTGAGGACTCACTGCTGCCTGCTGCTGCCTCCCCCACCCCATCTGAGTCAAGGCTTCCCCACACTCAGTACTGCAGGCCCTGCTTGGGGCTTGAGTCAGACTCTGTAAAGGCTCCCTGGGGCTCGTGTGTGGTCCTGGCGGAGAACCACGCCAGCACCTGTCTCCTGGGACAGCTGTAGACCACATAGGTGGACAAGGGCTGGTGCCTTGCATACACCCTGCAGTCAAGTCATTGTGGTCCCCTCACCTCTGCTCTTACTGTTCACGGACACTTGGATGCCAGGGGGGCTAACCACTCCTGGGCAGAGATGAGTCTGCCCAGCAGCTACCCCCTGCTCTTGGCAAGGAAGGTGCTGAAGCAGGAGAAAATCCCACCCTGGAGACAGAGGGTGGATGGACAGAGACCAACTTACACCCCTGAATTCTTCATCTCCCGACCGGAAGTCACCAACTCCATCATCTGCTGGACATGAAGAATGAGAAGAGTCAGCCTCGCTGGTGGCCCATCCCCTGAAGCCATTTGGCCTGGCTCCTGCCTCCCCAGGCTCCCTGTCTGGAGGGACAGCACCCACTCTGACCCAGTGGGAGCCACGGGGAAACCCACCACACAGCCAGACAGGCATCTAATGCCACAGTATTCCTCCAGCTTCTGAGCGTACCGTTGTCAGAAAAGTCTCCCTCGCTGTCCACCCGGGGGTGCTTGGTGTCCAGCTCCTCATAAGGCTGCAGCAGCCGCCGCTTCCTGACTGGGCCATCAGGGCCACAGCGCTCAGACCCTCGCCACCGGGGCTGAAACACAAACCCACGCGCATCCACTTAGCCAGGCACTGAAGCAAACTGAGGGGATGGAGGATGGAGAGGTTGCTGGACAAGAGAACAGAGGCAGGATGTCTTTCCAAAAAGCAAAGCCTACATAGTATCTCAATTGAAAAAGACATCATGCCAAGACACAAACAGGCATGAAAGCCCACCCAGGGTATGGTTCCGTCTATATGCAGTGTCCAGAACCGGCCAACGCAGCAAGACAAAGCAGCTGCCTACGGCCGGTGGTGTATGGGGATGGTGATGACTGCTAACATGGCTACAAGACTTCCTTTTGGGGTGATGGATATGTCTAAAATTAGATTGTGGTGGTGCACACAATTCTGTAAATTTACGGAAAACCACTTAATCATACACTTAGAACTAGTAAATCATGTGCTGTGTTGATTGTACCGCAATTAAAAAAACAAAAACAATCCCAAACCAGCTGAGTCAATTCCGACTCACAGTGAACTGTGTGTTGCCGAGTGACTGCTTAATAGGGTTTTCCAGGCTGTGACCTTTCAGAAGCCAAGTGCCAGACTTTTCTTCTGAGGCACCATGAGTGGGTCTGTCTGAGCCACTAACCTTTTGGTTAATAGTCAAATGCCTAACTGTTGGGATGTTTACCTCAACAGAGCTGTTGGGGCATGGAGAGGGCTTACCCGGTCCCTGATCCGGGCCTGTGCGCGGCCACAGCCGTATGGCACGGTGCTGTTGAAGCTGCCCGCCCCCTGCATGCCCATCATGCTAAAGTCGGGGGCCAAGGGCTGGGAGAAGAGGGGTGGCGGCGGTGGTGGCCTGCTGGGCGAGGGGCCGCCCAGGCCCCGCCCGGCCCCATAGTTCAGCTCGCCCCAGGGAGCAGACAGGGGCTCTGAGGAGGCCGTGGGCGGTGGCAAGAAGGGGTCACTGCGCATGAAGGTGCCACTGGGGCTGCCCCGGTCCTGGAAGCGGCCCTGGCCCCGGCCCCGCACAAAGTTGTCGAGGGCGCCCCGCTCACGGCCCAGGTCCCGGGGGTCGCCATACTGGCTGCCGAAGCCACCGTTGCGGTCTGTGGCCAGGTCGTAGTCGTAGCCGTAACCAGAGTGGTAGGGGTTGTGGTCAGGCAGGCTGGCCCTGGAATCGTAGGACTCGAAGGGCTGGAAGCGGAAGGAGCTGTGGGGCAAAGTGGACAGCTCAGTGATGCATGGGCCCCAGGATACCTGGGGCTCCCACCACACTAGGACACCCAACCCACGCCCTTAGCGCAACCCCTTACAAAGCAGATTCCCCACTTTCAAAACAGCAAACCAACAAACTATTTCTATTGGTATGCTCAGTAAATAACCCCAGCCCGACTCCTGTCCAGGGTCACTGTGAGGGGCATGGGCCCGTTAGGATGCTGGATGCAAAAACAAGGAATAGGGGTAGTTCAACCAGCAACTAGGCCCCAAACCCCACCACCCAGGTAGGAAACCAGCACTATCGGCCTCACCAGAGGGCCCACACGTTTCTCCAAATGGAAGAGGGATGTGAGAGTGAGGTCCCACCCCAGGGTCCCCCGCAAGGCAAGTAGCAGGATCACCTCTCACGGTCCTGTGCGCCCTCTCCGCTGCCACCACTCCCCCTGCTTCCTTCCTTGGACAGCATGTCCAGGCGCTGGTTGATCTTGGCGATAAGTGAGTCTGAGTTGTCAGGGCCAGGGCCAGGGCCAGGGCATGGGTCTGGGCCTGGCCCTGGGCCATAGGAGGCCATGTGCATGGTGTGGCCGCCAGCTGCCAGGCCACCATCACTGGTTTTGGCGGCCTCCCACGAGGCTGGGCCATAGTTGTACGTTGCTCCAGCGCTCACGCTAGAGTTCTGCGACCCGTAATAATTGTAGTTTTCATAACCTGGCAAGGAAGCAGTTGTGTCAGGTGGCAGCAATCACAAAAGACAAGGTGCCCTGCCCCCATGAAGCACAGGCCTCCCCCAGGGAGGGAAGGACACCCTGGAGGCCAGGCCAGGCCAGAGGGTAGCTGCAGCTCCGGGCAATGGCCTCCTGCCAGAACTGGTGATTTCTCTGCACCACACCCTGGGGACCGCATCCCCATCCAAAGCGAGAGGTGGCCCAGGGCCAGGCCCCACCACAGAGCTGTTGTTCCAGTCTCCTCAAGGCCTGGCTAGCCCTGGGCCTGGCTTCCACACACAGTAGCCTAGCCCGGCTGTGTCCTCAGGAACAGAGGCCCAGGAGCCACATCAAACCTACCCTATGACCTAACCTGCCAGCCTTCAGGAAAGCTATGAACCCAGCAAGGAAAGGGGTGCCTGTATACCTGCCCTTTGGGTGGCTGATCCTAAAAGCACCTAAAGACAACAATGGGAGGCAGACAGAGGGCCCACCCACCTGTCTCCAACTTCCAGAAGGGCTTGACCAATGCCCAGAAGTGCCCACCCCACAGGTGCTGCTCGGAGAGCCCACCTACTGGCCTGCCCCAACCCCCAGCAGGGCCTACCTTGCCAGCTGGCCACACCAGTTCCATATGCACCTTAGAGGAAACAGAAACACATGTGAACTTTGTCCCAGAACACAGGCGCCAACTCCCAAACCTGGGCACTGAAGGGCAGTTAAATACGCTATACTATCTGCAGATGGCAGGCACCCAGGGGCACAAGCAACTGGCTGGCTGTCAGCAACTCTCAAGGTGGCTGCCCAGCACGGCCACAAAGCCCGGGGCCCATCAGCTCATTTATCTCCTACAGGGCACTTGGCAGGTCCAGCTAAGCCTGCTCTCCTAGGCAAGTCCCGTTTTTCCCACTGGGGCAAACAGGAGGAGCCTGGACTTTCCAAAGAGCCCACCCGGTGTAGACTGGCCAGCAGAGCCAGCAGGCCAGACCCCCGGGCAGAGCCCTTCTGCAGTACCAATGTCTCCAGGAGGCAGAGCTCTACCAACGGCAATGACAGGAAACCACACCCCCATGACACTGGCAAGTGATGTCATGGTCACGAGTAGCACACAAAGCCCTCTCCTGGGACTGGGAGGAACTGAGAAAAGATCTACTAAGGACCCTTGGGGCAAGTGCCCAGGCTCAGAAATCAGACAGCATCCCACAGGGCAGATGCCAAAGGCCAGACACCAAAAATAGTTTAATTTTTAAACAGATGGGAAAAAAAATATCAAAAGGAAAACCTTCCATGACACAAATTTTGACGTAAGACATGCCACTTAAGCATTTATGAAAACTCAAGAGTGGCTTAGTGGTTACAGGGGTAGGCAGGTGGGAAAAGGGGGACTCACTGCTTACAAAACATTAAAAAACAAAACAAAACACCAAACCCACTGTCATCAAGTTGATGCCAATTCATAGCAACCCTCATTGAGTTTCCAAGGCTGTAAATCTTTACAGAAGTAGATTGCCCCATACTGAGCTTCCATTGAAAGTGCTAAGAAAATACAGAAACAGATACTGGTGATGGCTGAACAATACGATGAACATACCTAACGTCACAGAACTGTACCTACCAAGACTGGTAATGAGACAAACGATGTATTACGTACGCATTTATTGTTGTCGTTGAGTGCTGTCAAGTTGATTCTGACACACAGCAAACGTACGTATGACAGAACAAAACACTGCCCATCCTCACAATTGCTGCTATGTTTGAGCCCACTGCCGTACCTGCTGTGTCAATCCATCTTGTTGGGATCTTACTCTTTTCCGCTGCCCGTCTACTTTACCAAGCATGATGCCCTTTCTCCAGGGGCTGGTCCCTTCTGATCACATGTGCAAAGTACATGAGATGAAGTCTTGCCATCTTTGCTTTTCAGGAGTATCCTGGCTGGACTTCTTCCATGACACACTTGTTCATTCTTCTGGCAGTCCACAGTATACTCAATATTCTTCTCCAACGCCATAATTTGAATGTGTCCGTTCTTCTCAGGCCTTCCTTAGTCACTGTCCAGCTTTTGCATGCATGTGAGGCCACTGAACAATCCATGCCTTGGGTCATGTACATCTTAGTCCTCAAAGTGACATCTTTGCTTTTTAACACTTTTAAGAGGTCTTTTGCAGCAGATTTACCCAATGTAAAGTACTGTATGATTTTCTGACTGCTTCTTGCACAAACACTGACTATGGATCCAAGTAAAATGAAATCCTTGACAACTTCAATCTTTTCACCGTTTATTATGATGCTACTCATTGGTGGTCCAGTTGTGAGGATTTTTATTTTACGTTGAGATGTAATCTATGTGTATGTTTTACCGCAACTAAAAAATATAAAAACTCTGTACAATACACAAAGTGACCAGAACGTATACTCCCCGTAGTTAACAACACTGTCTCAGTGCTGGCTTACCCCTTCTAAGGAACATGTCACCCCATGAGATGTGAATAGGTGACTGTGGCAGGGTGGCAGGAGCATCTCTGTGTGTGATCTTTGCCACTGGCCCCTAAGTCTAAAACTGTACCAAATAAAAGCCTGTTGATTACAAAACTAGATGTCATTATACTAACAGCTGTCTACTTAAAAAAAGAAGTACTTCACAACACATGAACAGGGGTCCGTGAATGGTACACACAGTGAATGTGTCTGGCTACTAACTGAGAAGGTGGAGGTTTGAGTCCGTGGAGAGGTGCTTTGAAAGAAAGGCCTAGGGACGGACTTCCGGAAAACCCTAACACACAAGCTGTCATGAACTGGAGTTGCTAGGGACTGGTTTTTGTCCCTGCAGTGTAGTAAATCACATAGTGTGGCTTTTCTAGTGCTAAGTCTTTGTAAACTCTGTGGTGGAATTTGCCAAGAGCAACTGAGTAGCTCCTGATTGTTAAACTTAGCCACCTGGGGTATTTCTGTTGGGAGCAGCATGAAGTAATTTTCTGGGAAGTTCTCCCTTTCTCAGGTGTGTAGAATTCTGATGTTGGGATTGGTTAATTTGGCCACTCTGCCAGGCTCAAAAGGAGCCCTCCTAGAGGCAAAAGGGGACTGCTGGGTGAGAAAGATGTGCTACTAAGAGAAATGTGCTCCTGAGACACGCGCTGCTAAGAGAGAGACTGTTGGCTGAGAGATGGCGGGGTGAGAGAGACTGAGCATTGTTCCTCAACTTGAATTATAGCATGGTACTTCCCTAATAAACCCCATAATCTGTGAGTTCTGTGTGGCCACTGCAGCAAATTATCAAATCCAGCAGAGAGGTGGTGGGTGCTGCGGGAGGAACAGTTTGTGCCAGGGTTGGTGAAAGGGCTGGAGGGAGGCAGCATGTCTGGTCTCACAGGAATGGGCCTTGGGCTGCTGATGGTGATTCTGTCTTCCTCTTGTGGGATTAGAGGAGGTCAGAAGATGCAGCCCCCCTGCTCCTTTGGCGGTCCCCAAGGGTTATCAGCACACAGCCCCACCCACTCATTTATATACTGCCTACAGCAGCTTTCACACTAGAAATTGTCAAACCAACACTTGATCTACACCTGAAAGAAGCTGCAGTGATACAGTGATTAAAGTCCTCAGCTGCTAACCAAAAGGTTAGCAGTTCAAACCCACCAGTTGTTCCATGGGTGAAAGATGTGGCAGGCAGTTTGCTTCTGTGAAAACCAGAGCCTGAGAATCCTTACAAGACAGTTCTACTTGGTCCCACAGGGTCCCCATGAGTAGGAAGCAACTTGCCAACAGTGGGTATGGTTTTTGGCTTTGTTCTACCCTTGCATCTCTGGTGACAGCACCACTTGCGACTCCCATGCTGGGGCCTCAGGTATGGGAGAGAAGTGGGGGGCTTCATGGCTGGCATCCCCAGTGGAACCACTTACCCTGGGTGTTGGCAGGTCCAGCACTCCATGCCCCATAGCCTGTGGAAAGAAGAGCCTATAAGGTCAGGTCCTATCTGCCACACAGATGCTCAGAGAAGTTCAGTGGCAGCTGGATAGATGCCCAAATCATCTGATTTTGCAAATACTATCCCCCCAAAAGTCACTATCACACTTTGGCTGCCTGAGGTCAAAGCACAAAAAAAGGGACAGGTGGTGGGCATCCAAGGCAGTTCTGTCCCCTGCCTGCTGAGGGTACCCTGGGAAAAGACTTCATCCTTCTAAACCCTAAAAATAATGTGGGACAGTCACCAGTTACCCCAGCATCAGAACTCGGACACCTGTCTGTATCCAGCTTGGCCCACCCCCTGCACTGCTGGAAAACTGCTCAGACTGCTGGCACGTGGAAGGGTCACCTGGGACTGAGCAAACCTCGAAATGGGGAACATTGCTATACCTTCTGATTTCATTTCCACACAACTTCAGACCCTGTATGCTTGGTGTGATCAATCCACACCCTCCTCCAGTCCCAGGGCCTAACTCTGGCATGCTTGTCTCTGGTGACTCCCCTATCCCTCAAGACCCCTACAACAGCAAGTGGGACCCCCTCCAGTGGGGGGGGGGTAGGTACTGTTTACTCCTCACTAGGGCGTCCCTGGAACCCCCCAGTCTCTCAACTTTCATGCGTTCCCCTTCCTGGAACCTACTGCGCCTACTGTGTGCAGCAAACAGTAGTCGTCACCGAATGACGTTCAGAGAGTGCGCACTTGACCTAAGGTCACACTGTTGCAGGCGTCTACACCCTTCCTGCCACACTGCGTGCCTTCCAAGTCTGGCCCCCATATACTCTGATTGAGTCCTATTAGACCGATATGGCCGCACGCACTACACTGAACACTGCACTCAACCTTCAGCACTCCCTAGGAGGGGTATTGCTGTTAACCCAAGTGAATACAGAAAAAAGCACGGAAAGGTCAGGTCGCATGTCCAAGAACTGGGATTGTACCCCAAGGCTAGGACCCTGCTCGGTCTGCAGGGCGCGAGAAGTGAGTAGCTTCTGGTGGGAAAACACAGAAGGCTCGGAGGCTGCACCTCCCAAACCAGGCCTGCAGGAAGTGGGGAGAATCCTCTCCGGCTAAGGGCGCGAGAAGCCCATGGGCGGGATCAGCGATCAAAGGATCCCGCAGAAGGAAAAGCCGCGAGTGGTAGAAGCCCGTGGGGCTGGGGGGTGGAGCCCTCGTCTTTCGGACCCCGGGGCAAAGCACTGGCCGCTGCTCCACTCTGCCAGCACATCTCGGCCCCTAAAAACTCCCCCGCCCCCACCTCACCCCCCTCGGGACACGTGCTACCGGACCCCTTGCAGGCCCCGCCCCCAACGCCATCTTGGGGCGTCCGACGCCGGGCCGCGAGAGTAGCTCGGCAGGCCTGCCCGCCGGCCAATCCGCACCCAGTGCTCGAGAGCGACGGCGACGGGGCCCAATGAACGGCTCGCGCCCCGCCACCTTCGCGCAGGCTGAGCCGCCGTACCGTGCTTCTCCGGGGTCCTGGCCCGTGGCCCTTTGCGCGAAGGCTGCGGGACCCGGGCCCTCCTGCCCTACCCACGGCCAATACCCACCTCCGTAGCCCTGCTCCATGTTTTCACTTCGGCCCGCCGGCAGCTCCTTTTCTAGGCCGCTGCAACGCTCATGCGCTCAACGCACCACCCACTACTGGACGACCAGGCATACACGTCACTACACCGGCGGGCTACCATTGGCTTGGTTGCACGGCGGACCCGCCTCCCGAGGCCCGTAGGCCGCCACAGGATTGGTGTGCACACACGTCAGCAAGAGACACAGCTTGTACGCAGGCGCACATGTCCCCTCCAACCCCCTCATCACGCGCGCTCGCGACGTCGTCAGCCCCTCCTTCCGTCCCAGCGGCGGCGCGCACAGAGAGAACGGAAGCTGGCTTGGGAGGAAGCATTTTATTGGGCTAGGCCTGCGCCTCGCCCGCGCGATCACGGGGCGCTCCCACCACCCTCCTCGTCGTCATCGGCTTCCACGTCAAGGCCCGGGATCCCGCGGATCTGGCGCTCTAGCGCCCCACCCAGCAGTGGCACGGCCTCTTCTTCCTCCTCCGGGGGCGGCGGCGGTGGTGGTGGCGCGGTAGCCTCTGGCTCCGGAGGCACTGGCGGCTGGGGGGGCCCTTCGATAGCGGCTGCGGCCTCTCCTGATGCCCCCTCATCTGGGACGCCGGCATCTCCTTCCTCCGGCTCCTTGTCCTCCTCAGGGCTGTCAGTGAAGGGGTTCTCGCCCTGCGAGGAGGAGACAACGGCGAGGGAGGGTGGATGGCCTAGCCTGGGGAAGGGGCTGGGGCTGGCCTGGTCCCCCAGGCGGGGCGCTGGGGCCTCACCTTCAGGTAGCGCTCCAGCTTCTTGCTGATGAGCTTGTTGTTGAGGATGCTGCGGGCTACCATGAGCGAAGACTTCTTGGACTGCTCCATCATGAGCTGTGAGCAGAGCAGATAGGCTGCAGGCCCTGCTGCTGGCCTGGGCCAACAGGACTCCCACCCCTACCCCCACCCTCACCCTGGACTCCAGCTGGGGAGCTTCCCTCAACCTCACACCTACCTCCACCCTGGCTTCCACCTCGACGACTGGAATTAGTGTACAGCCTGCACAACAGTGAGTGCTCAGACATGGCTGGAGCCTTGGGTCCAAGCCTAGAGCATCTCTTACAAGCCTCGAACCACTACCTGGTCTTTGTTCACATGCACCATCTTTCTTCACCGTGGTTGACTGGGTCATAAATTAGGTACACAAGCTCACATATTTAGAGCTATATTACAGACATGTTATGTGCTTACATGAGTGTTGAAACTTACTAAAAGCCAGGTTACACTTGTGACAAGGCGCTAACTGCCTCATACATACACAGCTTTTTATATTCAATAAAAAAAAAAAAACCCAACCAACCCACATACTAGTTGCCCTCCAGTCAATGCTGCCTCATGGCCCCCTCCTGTGTGTCAGAGAAGAACACCACGGGACTTTCAAGGCTGGGACCTTCTGGAAGCAGATCGCCAAACCCTTCCTTTGAGGTGTCACTGGGTGGGTTTGAACCAACCACCTTTCAATTTGTCCTCAAGCACTGACTCTGTGCTACCCAGGAACCCTTTACATTCAATTGGGAAAATATAAAAGGAATACAAATGTCAAACAGCATAGTAAAATTGTTCTTTTGAACCCACAGGATTCCATATATGAAGAATGATACGCAGTAATGGCAAGGTGACACTTCTCTCTTAGTGGGAGGGTGTACTGCTTACAAATTTTCTGGAAAGCACTTTGAAAGAATGTATCAAAAAGCAAACATCTGTCTCAGCAGTTCCTCCCAAACTGAGGAACTGGAACATGCATCCATGAACACCATCCAGTGCTGAAAACCTGAAAGCACCTTAATGTCCTTCAGTAGAGATGTGGTTAAATAAGCACTGCGTTTCAAAGATGACCATGGAGCAATGAAAACACAACTTCTCTTTCCATTGGCAAAGTAAGAAAGAGGTGTGTGGTGGAACGGTCTTATAGAATGTGACCCCTCTGAAAGTATTTATGCTAAAGGACCAGGTGATGTTATCAGAGGTGAGAGCTAAGGCAAATCTCTCTGTCATCGTTAGAAAGGTCATGTGTATAAGAAGCTGTTCCAGAAAGAACACGATAAAGCTCTTTCTGTTTGGAGAGGATTATAGGCGAGTCCACCTCCACCAGCCTCCTAAGTGCTAAGCAGTGCTACTGCCATGACAGTTTGGAAAGTCATCTCCATTTCTGTTTCTACTCACTTCTCCCAGCTTCATTTTTTTATGTATTTTCTCTACTAGGGAAAAAATTAACACATCTCAGGCAGACTCATTAAGAAACAAAGATTCACAATCAGGGTACAAAATAAACTCCTTAACCCAGCAACTTTTCCCCACTGCCCAACACACTTTCCTCCCTCCTCCTAGCATGGATGGGAACACACCAGACAGGTACTTGTACACTCATGTTCCCTGCAGCACTTGTTACATTAGTCAAGAGTGGCAACAACCAAACTGTCCATCAACAGATGAAAAGATCAACAAAATGTAGTAGTATGTACACATAGAAGAATGACACTCAGCTGTAAAGAGAAATGAAGTCCTAATCCATGCCACAACACGGAAGAACACGGAAAACATGCTGAGCGAAATTAGTCAAGCACGAAAGGACAAATGTTGTATAACCCCACTTATATAAAATAAGCAAATATAGAAACCAAACTAATAAGCAACATTACAATAAATGGTGAAGAAGGTATCAAAAGATTTCATCTTATTTGGCTCCACAATCAACACCCATGGAAGCAGCAATCAAGAAATCAGACGTGTTTTATTGCACTAGGCAATCTGCTACAAAACCAAACCACAAACCAAACTCACTGCCGTTGAGTAGGGTCCGACTCATGGCGACCCCTCCTTGGGTTTCCGAGGCAGTATCACTACTGAAGTAGATTGCCCCATCTTCCAAACACCTCTTTAAAGTGTTAAGGAGCAAAAACTTCACTTTGAAGGCTAAGATGTGCCTAACCTGAGCCAAAGAGCTTTGGTAGCATAGTGCCTAAGGCATTCGACTGCTAACCCAAAGTCTAGAGGTTGAAATCCACCAGCCACTCCTCGGAAGGAAGACTGGGCAATCTACTTAGGTAGAGATACCAGCTCAGAAACCCAAGGAGGGGTTGCTAGGACTCGGATCTGACTTGATGGCAGTGAGCCTGGTTTTTTCAATTGCTTCATATGCAAGTGAAAACTAGACAATGAATACGGAAGATCAAGTAAGAGTTGATACCTTTGAGTTATGTTGGCAAAGAATACTGAAAATACCATGGACTGCCAGAGAATGAACATTATCTGTCTTGGAGAAAGTAGAATGTATCTTAGAAGGGAGGCTGGAGAGATTTTGTCTCACATACTTTGGTCATGTTATCAGGAGGGACCAGTCCCTGGAGAAGGATTATCATGCTTGGTAAAGTAGAGGGATGGTGAGAAAGAGGAAGATCCTAAACAAGATGGATGGACACAGTGGCTATAACAATGGGCTCAAGCATAGCAAGGACTGTGAGGATGGCGCAGGACCTGGCAGTGTTTCTTCCAAGGTACCTCTGGGTAGATTCAAACCATTAACCTTTTGGTTAGTAGTTGAGCACTTAACTACTGAGTTTATGTTAATGGTAGTGAAATAATTTAGAAAAGGATAGTGAGAATGGTTGCACAACTTGAAGAATGCAATCAATGTTACTGAATCTGTAAAACCAAACCAAGCCAAACGCACTGCCATCAAGTGACCCCCATTCCATTTCCAAGGCTGTAAATCTTTATGGAGGTAGAATGGCCCGTCCTCCTTCCACGGAGCACCTGATGGGTTGGGAGCGCTGATCTGCTTAGCAGTGAAATGCCTTACCCACTACACCACCAGAGCTCCCACTATATTTATACATGTAGAAATTGTTGAACTAATATGTTTTGTGGTGTTATTTTCAGCACAATTAAAGGGAAAAAAAAGCATCCAAGTCAAGTTTCTGAAAAGTGACCAAGAGGGACACAGCAAATTGGCAAGAAAGGCAAGGCATCAGCATTTCTCATCCCGCCCCCAAGTACCTATTATAGAAAATAAAGTCTGGATGAGTGTGGCTGAGAGTTGGGGAACCCCTTCTGTCGAGTCCCCACTTCTGAGATGAAGAATCTACCTCAGTGGAAGAATACTGGAGTGCAGTCATCCTCCTTCCAGCTCATTCATAAAGTGAAGATCCCATACCAGGAGAGGCAACTGAGACAAACTCTAAAGCCACCTCTGTGGCACACACAGCTCCAAAGCTGTAGTGTCATTCGAAGAGAAGGGCAGCAATGTCCGCATTCACAGCTTCAGACCATTGGCACAGAGAATTCTGCCCATGGCAAGAGGTGGTAGACAAAACAGAGAGCTCAGAATCTCTTCCAAAAGAACCAACTTTCTTTGCAAATGTGTGTGATAAAGTTTAAGACTAAAGGGCACTCTCAAAGCAATGAGGGAGTAGTGGTGGTATCTTGGAGAAATGAGTTAGCCACAGGCCAGCTAGTTTCCCAAGGAGAACCAAGGAAACAGCCAAAAAGAGCTTTCCTGGGGTCAAAACAAATCTCAACTACTGATGACTTCTGGTAAGATGGAGGAACAGGCAGACAAGTGCCACAGACCCTCTTTAAAAGAAAAGAAACCAATTTACAGAGATACATAAGATAATCCTAGAGACCTGAGCTTTGAAAGAAACTATACAGAAGTGGATTAGGCACCAACTAGTGGAAAAACCTGAACGAAAACAGTGAGTAGAGAGACGGTGGGAGCTGTGGACTGTCAGCTACTCTGACGGGACCAACAGCCTGAATATTTCCAAGTGGTGTTGGGACGTAAGAATTGACCTAAAGATCAGCCCTGGTCACTAAGGGCTGCAGGGACAATTGTGCTGGTGGCCTATATGACTAGGAAGGGAAACCGCAAGAAGGGAGACAACTTGAGCTGTGGACTTTCCACTGTCCAGAGGGTGCCACCATTTTGACTGTTTACACGCAGCAGCCATTTTGGATTTTAAAGTGATAGCATTCTCATTCGGATTCCAGGGACCTAAGAATAGGCTCTGTTTGCCAAGGTCAGCAGGGACAAACAAGAGGCTGACAAAAGGAGAGGAGACAGGTGATGAGTGTTTAAGTGCTGTCAACTAGTGAATAGAGGAGCACAGCACAGTACTCTGTTTGTATAGATAACATACAAAGAAAACAAAAATCGTGGGCAAGTTGCTCCAACATACAGTCACCAATTAAATATAAACACAAAAACATCATAATGCCTCGGAGACAACAGAGCAACACAGTCCACACAAAAAAGCAAGATAAAGGAGGAGAAACAAAGGACCAGGATACAGACCCAAAACACATCCCTGAGGAAGACGCAGCATTGGAACTCCCTGGTAAGGAATTTGAAAGAATTATATTTAGGTGTCTTCAATGAATTGAGAGACAGATGAAGGAAAACACAGAAAACCCTAGAACAATTTCAAAAGACAATACAAGAACAAAATGACAAAATAAATGAAAAATTAGAAATAATACAAATCTACACACAAAAACCAAAAGATTAACACTAAATTTCCAGAAATACGTAAAGACACTGAATGGGCAAAGGAGCAGAACTGAATCGATGGAAGTCAGAAATTAGTGAGACTGAAGGCAAATGCCTGAATACTTCCGTGGAAAGGGATAAATCGGAAAGAAGATCAAAACAAAATGAAGAAAGCCTAAGATTCATGTGGGATATCATCAAAAGGAATAACCTACGTGTAATCAGAATTCCAGAACAAGAAGAAACAAATAAAACCACAGAGGAAATTGTCAAAGATTTGTTGGAAAAGAAATTTTCCTGGCATGATGAAAGATGAGACTATATCCATTCAGGAAGTCCAGCGAAC